TCACTGTATCGAGCAATATGAGTTTGCTTCACGTGGATCGCACATTGTACTCCTCACCCCCTACCCACTACCACCTATTCTCACCCCTCACCCCCTAAGTTACACCCCCGGAAAAGAGAGTGAAGAGTTTCCAGTAATCGGATCCTTGTGTTTACGCAAAGATTTCTGGGATCGTCACGAGGCAAACATTGCAACTCGCTGGAAAGATTTATGTGAAAGGTTGTTTTGACGTCCAAAAAAACAATTTTGGAGAGAAATTATTGCTTTTTATCAGTAATGGATTTGGGTGATGTTGGTAAAAGGAAAGCGTAAGTTTTTGTTTCAACAACCATGAAATATGATAAGTAAAGTCTACCGATTAACTTTTCTCCATGCCCAAGTTTTATCGTGAAATTGACATCGCGTAATGGTCTCGAAATTTAGAAATATTAGCTATAAATCGCCACGAAATAACTCAACAAAGCTTTTTCCTCTTGGCTTGGTAATACAAAAGAGTGGTACAACTGCTCCCGGTCTTGTTCACCGCCTTTATTTAAACTGATGGACAAATCATAGCACTTTACAATATCGATAATGTACTCTCCTGTATGATTATGGAGAAAGGCAAAAACTTGCTAATGGCATATTGAGTCGGCTAAAAGAAAATCAGTTGTTCTTCGGTTTGTTGATAGCCTTTATAAGCGAGACAAAAGAACTCCACCTAAGGGGGTAGTGATAGAAAGCTAGAAAATTCTTCAGCCGATCGCACTTCATTAGAAGTCATATCTAAAAGATACAACTAAATTCTTGAATGGTACAAACAAACACACGATTCAACAAGAGGACTCCTGTAATATTTAATAATTCTGAAACACAAAGATAACTACAATTTTATATGATTCGCGACGACATTCCGATCATACTTGAGGCGTGGCGTTACAATATGAAAGTTACAAAGTGAAACAGAAACTAAAGTAAGACAGAAATCTACAATTAGAAATCAGAAACCAGGAAGAAAAATACAAATAATATAAAGCTATTGTACTTGAAGGGTAGATCCTCGTGCATGAAATAAAGTTAAATCAAAATTACCGTGGGTACGCATGTCAATTTGGAAATAGCGAAGATATGACTTAAAATCATATGCGAGCGAGTTATGTAGTGAAACTGAAATGCGAGCGTGTTTGATCAGCAGTCTTGCCTATTTCAAAAAGTTTCACAAATATGCCACAAGCTGTGGGCATAAACATTGTATGCCCTCCCCCTTCCCCACTCCACCCTAATAATAACATACAATAAAACAAATAAATATTTTTTTGATGTCTCTGAGGTCGTGTGACTCGTACCTTGAGCTAAATTATGATCCCGCCCATACCCATCGTATCCCCTATTCCGCCTTCGAAACGGAGCATATCTCGGTCTCGCCTTCTTATTTTCATCCTGCATCTCACCTTTGAAATTTCTCATATTGCACATCCTGCCTCGATTTTAAGCCTCATCCCGCATACCGCCAAATCTATGTTGGAACCCTCTGGATAGCAATTTATTCCTTGGATAGCGTTATCCGCCGCCCTTTGAACTACTGATCACAGATGTTGAGAAACGATTCCATAAATTCTGTGGCTCTAGATAAAATAATAGATAGAAAAACTTGAACCAAATGACGTTACAGAGCAAG